GCATGTACAGGTAAAAGAGCATGGTGGATTTTTGCAGCTATACACAGATATTTTCAGGCAGTGCAGTATTCTGCATGGCAGACTTAGCTTTCACTAAGTTAAAAATGTTTTATGGGCTGCACGCTCCTTCTCAGAGTTAAAGTGAGTGAGGCTCCTCCATAGTTGTCCCAGAACTGGTGGTAATGGCACCACTACCATATTGAAAGGCAGAGAGAAAGCCAAACCAGCATCCAGGCCACAGGATCACACTGTTTACAATTTTAAAATGTGTTAAAAAGGATTTCAGAGTGAGTACATCCCATGTTCATCTTTTTGGGTCTGGGTTACCTCATTCAGGATAGTGTTTTCTATTTCCATCCATTTGCATGCAAAATTCGAGAAGTCGTTTTTTACTGCTGAGTAGTACTCTAATGTGTATATATTCCACACTTTCTTCATCCATTCTTTTATTGAAGGACATCTAGGTTGTTTCCAGGTTCTGGCTATTACAAATAATGCTGCTATGAACATAGTTGAACAAATGCCCCTGTCATATGATCGGGCATTTCTTGGGTATATTCCCAAGAGTGGCATTGCTGGGTCCAGGGGTAGGATGATCCCGAATTTCCTGAGAAACCGCCACACTGCTTTCCAAAGTGGTTGCACAAGTTTGCATTCACACCAGCAATGAATGAGGGTACCCCTTTCTCCACAACCTCTCCAGCAAAGGCTATCATTGGTGTTCTTGATTTTAGCCATTCTGACAGGTGTAAGATGATATCTCAAAGTTGTTTTGATTTGCATTTCCCTGATCGCTAAGGAGGTTGAGCATAACCTTAAGTGTCTTATAGCCATTTGAAATTCATCTGTTGAGAATTCTCTGTTCAGATCAGTGCCCCATTTTTTAATTGGGTTAATTAGCATTTTAAAGTCTAGTTTCTTGAGTTCTTTATATATTTTGGAGATCAGACCTTTGTCTGTTGCGGGGGTGGTGAAGATCTTCTCCCAATCAGTGGGTTGCCTTTTTGTCTTAGTGACAGTGTCCTTTGCTTTGCAGAAGCTTCTCAGTTTCTGTATATCACCACGTGGCAGTGGCTTACCAGGTAAAATTCCCAGCATCTCTGTCTGGAGGATCCATAGCTCTCTCCTAACTCTGCTTTCTTCCTGCCAGAATTAAGTTCTGTCTTCCTTGTCTACCTAAGTTCTGCCCTATCAATAGGCCAGGAATTTTCCTTATTTATTAATACTAATCACAGCTAACAGAGGGGACTGTCACATCAGGTTCTTTATAAATATTTGTTTACATTTAAAGGTGGGTGTGCTATAGAGATGAATACTTTGCATTGGTATGGATTTTGGTTTATTGATACAAATTTAAGGTCAATTTTGTTATATGTGCATTTCTGCTCTTGATTCAGATATTGTGTTTATTTAGCTCATTTTAAGATGTAATGGATAATTATGAAATGCAGGATAATAGTCATTTTTAAAAATCAAGCCTGTAGTCATGTTAGTTAGGTTTTCTAGATGTACAGAAATATATTTCATATAGATAGATATTCTTCAAACCTTTCAAGACTAACAGAATATGGCATTTAAAAATGTTATAAGAACTTAGACTTTTCATGACAAAGACACATCTGCTCCTGGAATTACCAATCTACTTTAAGGTGATGAATGGCATTGAAGAGGCTCCTTATAAAGTTGGTTAGACATTTGGGCAAGAAACTGCTCTTGCCTGGACTGTTTGATGTTATTCTTGATGAACTGGACATGCAGGACCCACAGAAAAATGACTGTTGAAGTTGCTTAGACAAGGTGAGACAGTCCTTCAGGGTTCCTGCTTCATAATGGAGTTGGCCAGATATTCTGCAGGACACATAAGAAAGTGACTGACAAACTGCCAATTTGGCAAAATTGTTCTTGAAATTTCCTTCTTCATGGAAAAGTCTGCTAGATACTCTGGGCCTGTAGGCTGAAGATTGGATGTCCCAAAATTACAGAAGAACTTTAGGTCACTGTTAAGGCTGCGACATGCTTCTGTCATTTCTAGAGTTTTGGAAGTTTCTTGAAATTCACTTCCTGTTAACTTAGGTAATATTATATCCTGGGGTCTTTGATGGAGTTGAAGAACAGTTATAGTTTTTCTTACTTATGATAAAAGAAAAGTAAATATAAATACTGTAACTATAATCTTGTTTGATGACTGTTTTTTATATGCAATTTTACTATGTTAAAGATAAAGCCTTCCTTTTTATTTAGACAGAAAGGGGAAGTGATGTGGGATTCCCCTCTCTATACCATCAGTTAATAAAGAAGATGCTTCAGCCTTTAGCAGGGCAGAATATAGCCATGCTGTAAGAGATATACATAGAGAAAGTAGGCAGAGTCAGTGAGAAGCCATACTGTTGCTGGATGAGACAGACACCCTAGGACCTTACCCACTAAGCCACTGTGATGTAGCAATACACAGATTAATACAAAAGGGTTAATTCAAGATGTAAGTGTGTTAGTACTATTGGCCAAGCAGTAGTGAAAATAATACAGTTTCCCTGTGATTATTTTGGGTCAGACCAGCCAGGAAATGAACACGTAGCCTCTGCCAACAAAATTGTGCTTGGGACTGTAAAGTTTATCCAGAGAAATAAATCAGGATAAAGAAACATTTATGGGTATTGTAAGGGATGCAGATTTATTCCTGCTGCATCCAGAGCTAAGAGAAAGCCAACAATTGCAAACCTCTGTATAGTTTCAGGGTCCAACTGCTCCACAAAAAGAGGATAATTTTTTTTTCTGGTTGTGCTTCTTATATTCCAGGAACAAAATTAGGACTATTTTTCCATCTTTTGGTTTGAAATGAGTGTGAGATTCTCCTTGAATGGAGGTTGGGGGAAAGAGATACTTCTACTGACCATTAATTTATAACCTAGACAATGAATAGAGGAGGCTTATAGTTCCATATCTGTAAGGACTCTTGACTTTAATGTCCTGAGTGATCATAATGACAGTTGGACGGAATTCCTTTTTCCCCTATATTTTATTTTATTTTGTTTATTTTTTTTTAGTTGTTGAAAAAAAATTTCCGCCTCTTCCCTGTTTCCCATTTCCCTCCCCCTCCTCCAGAGTGGGGGGAGGGGGAAGGAGGAGGGGAGTGGGGGAAGGGAGTGATGTGTGGAAGGAATTCTTATTCCAAACCCTGGGTTAACATCCTTACACTCAACTTGTGGTCACCAGATAGAGCTCTAGTCTTCTCTGACATGGCTCGGGAGAAGGCAAGTAGCACAGACATCTACTGAGTTTACTTCCTATCTCTTTCTAGCTCTTGGAATCTCTTCTCAGATATTAAAGGCATAAAAAGCTACAATTAATAAAGTGGGAGGAGGATATAGGTAATTGGTATAGGAGGTCCTTCTGTTTGTGTGTTGCTTTCATTGGTTGAATAAAGAGACTGCCTTGGCCTTTTGTTAGGGCAGAATTTAGGTGGGTGGAGTAGACAGAACTGAATGCTGGGAAGAAGGGCAGTGTTGCAGATGCCATGAAGCTCCTGCCTAAGACTGACTCTGGTTAGAATATTTCTCAGTAAGCCATAACCTCATGGTGCTACACAGATTATTAGAAATGGGTTGAATCAAGATGTGAGATTTAACCAATAAGAGGTTAGAACTAATGGGCCATGCAGTGTTTAAATGAATACAGTTTCTGTGTGATTATTTTGGGTGTAAGCTAGCCAGGCGACCAGGACAGAACAAGAGGCCCCGCATTGTTTAATAAATTCTATTTGAACTTAAAACTATTAAAAAGTTTTAAAATTGCAAATCATTTTGTTCAAATAATAATTTACACAGACACACACGAACTACTTAAACAAATGCCACAAGTCATGCTTAACACCATAAATAAATAAGGGACTATTAATTTGAATAAGGAAAGATACCTCTTGTGAAAAATATTTGTTTAAACAAACAAAATCTATTAACAACATACTGGTGATGAAAATATGAAGAATCAAGTATTGCTGAAAATTATAGTTAGGAGAATGATAAAGGCACAACCAATGTGGATATTATTAAATATCTGATAAAGTATAAAACATTGACACAGAAGTTACAGTAGCCGAGGTTTATTATGGAAATATTTTCCATGCTACATAAAACTGTGTAAAGTTTCACTCACTCCAGGTTTTATGCAATGGTAATTCTAGAGTAAGCTGAAATACCAATTGTGAAGTACATTTAGTCACATCTCTTTCTAGCATAATACTCACAGATGCTTCTAAAAAGTCAACATTTCCTTTAGGTCTTGACAAAAAAAAAACAGTCTGCAATGTCTAATTATTTAAAAGCACACTTGTAGTCAGGAATTCAGGAGGCCCAGGGTGAGAGAGTCACCACTAACTTCATTATTCTCTTCTATGTGAGTTCCAGGCCAACCACAGCTGCATAGTGAGGCATCATATGAAACCCAAACTCCCCATAAGTGAAAAATCCTAGACCACAGTTTAAGCATTTGCAACATTTGCTTTATAGGGAGAAAGCATTTCCATATGATATCCTTGAAATGATATCCATAATCTAGTTGTTTGAGTCGGACAGTTATTGAAAACCAAGGAAAGAATAAGTGATTTTACAGTTCAATTTTTTTTGTATTTTAAACAATACAAATCTATCACTCATCCACTGAACTAAATAATTTGTCTAGATGATTAGGAGAAATAGATACAAGACCTTTCACTCAAAAAAAGTGTTTCCTATTTTTCAGTTTATTGATTTTTGACATTTTGCCATATACATATACATATATATATACATACATATATATACATACATATATATATACATACACACACATATATATATTTCTTGAGTTTATTTCATGTACTGCCTAAAAATCTTTACTTTATCATTTCAAGAGAATAAGGCTTTCTAAATCATGAAGAGTTTACTGATTTGGGTCAATATTCTAAGCTCTTTGATTTTATTTTACTAACAGTAGTTACAAAAAAACAGAAAAATATGATTTTATCAATTTTTTGAAATAACAAGGGAGGGAAAGTTCTTTTCACAAATGTAATGGAAATATCGACTACACACACCAGAACTGAGGGCCATGGGCTTGAGGTATCCACATTCTTCAGATGTTGAATGTGTTGTGAAAAAATGCCTGAGTCAAAAAAAAAATTTAAAACCAGTCATTAATTAAGCATAATTTTTATTATCACAACATAAAAATACTCATGTGTGATTATTCCAGTGTACAACACAACATTCTTAGATAAAACTGCTAAATGATAAGGCCTCATGTGGGGGTTTAAGAACATTATCTTAATGGAAGGGTTAGAGAGATGGCCCAGCAGTTAAGAACACTTACTGCTCTTTCAGAGGACTGTCTCAATTCCCCACACCCACTTGGCTGCTTCTCTGTAACTCCAGTTCCAGAGAATCCAATATCACCTTCTGGACTCCGAGTGCATCAGACATGCACATGGTACACAGACATATGTGAATCATGCATACACATTTAAAAAAATAAAAAAATAAGAAACCTGGAAAAAATCATTCTTTACTCTGATTAATTAGGTCTATAGCTTTCTATAAGGTTCCATGCACAAAAAGCTATAGTAGTGAACTAATATGATCTATTTTACCAGGGTCTTCTCTTATAGTGAAACATTTGTTAAGGAAGTATATGAAATAAAAACTCACAAATCTGAAGAAACTTTAGTGTCTTTCTGGTTCACCCACTGGAATTGTCTTTCATTTTTACGTAATCCAACCCAATAGCTGTAATTCAATCGTGACTGAATAAAGTTCTATGGAAAAATTAAAATTTTAGTATTCCTTATAGTTATACATAAGGTTCAAAGTTCAGCTATGCCACATTTAGAATTTCTCAGTATCAAAAGACACTTAAAAAAACATGTTAAAACAAGTCTCAGATTTGTAGTTGTTTAAAGGACAAATAAAGACATCTTGTAAGTCAATGAAGGAATAAATCCCATATAAAGAAAGCATATGTAGGTCAGTACACACAGATATGTTAATGGCAGTTCAAACATTCATGTTAAAGCTGTAACAATTTCCAATAAGTCACCTCATGTGATATGGGAATAATGAGAAGAGAAGTTCTGTGGGTAATGAAATCAGAAGATTATATTTACTACTGTTATTGATATCATATTGAAGAGTACTGGGGAATGTGAAAAATTTTACATGCTCTATTATTCAAGTTGTACTCCCACAGTTATATATGAAAAATAGAAGACATATTGAACAATATTTCACAGAAGTCTAAGGATGTTGAAGCAAAAGCGAATGACTATGACTAGCTAAAGAAAAAAAACTGCATCCATCCATGTCATGATGTCTTATGTCACGTGAAACAAGAAACTTTAGGAAGTTTTAAACTAGAAGTCATTTATAATAAGAAAATTAATTACCTTGCATTTTCCTTATGTGTAAATGTAAATTATAGAATTGATTAAATGTAGATCATAGAATCTGTCTGAAGATTTTATGTGCTAAAATAGTGATTTTATATTCATAATTCTCTTTCCAAGTCATATATATTGTTCACTTCAAGTTTTTTCTTATATATGTATGACAGTTAATCACTTTTATTTATCTTCTTTTCCTCTCTGTACTTCTGTCTTTCTTTCTATGTGTCTGTATCTATGATTGTATCTCTCTCTCACACACACACGCATGCATGCACACACACACACATACAGACACACATACACACACACACCCCTAAAGTAAATCTTTGAAATAAATTTATTGAAAATTAAATAATTATATGTAAATTATGCAAAATTATGTAAATGTCTTCATAGTAAAACAATATTTCAATTTCTAACAAACTCATTTACAACAATAGAGGTTCAAAGATGTATATAAACTATAAATTGGTCGTTGTATTTCTTTGTCTTCAACTTTTACTTCTTTATGAAATATCTACTTTAATAAAATAATTATATATTAGCAAACACAGTGGTATTGTATACATCCTGCATAAAATCTATTAGAAACAGCATTTCTAAAAGTAAATATTAAAATGGACGTTAGTGCCTAACTGAACTGTTCAAAATAAATCTACAAAATATGCCAGAGTGACCCTTTTCTTCTTAAATTTTTGGAATAATGGCAAGTGTAATATACAAACAACAGAGAAACTAATGTCATTCTGAGTTATGAGTACTATAAAAATTATTTCAGAGGAATAATTCTATCATCATCCTCATATATTCTGTCTTTATTTTGAATTCTGTTTCTCTCATGTCCAATTATAAGGACTCATGTTCCATCCTAGAAGTAAATTATTTTTCCCGATACTGATGATAGAAAAGAACTCAAAAATAATTGCTTCTTTTGGACTGCTCATATCAACAAAGACAGCTTTTCTCACTAGCTTTTCATTAACAATAAGTGGTCTGCTCTGGCTAAATTCTGAAGATGCAATGCAAATGATGTTGCTCAGAATTATCCCATGACACCCACACCAGGGCTATTTCTCATGACATAAAAATTTTCTTCTAGGTACTTTTTATGTCTCTGCCCTTTTTTTTGCAGGTAAATATGTGCCAACATACACAAGTGCTTCTGTTCAGTAGGCAAAATACTGTAGAAGAAACATAAATGATTTTTTTTTCAGCTCAAGATATATGAACTTCCCCAGAAACACTCAAGGAACTCACTCCCCACACCTGCTCCTCTCTGTTGTCAATCTTAGCCAGGTGAGAACCCAGGAGTCTGCAGGAAGCCTCACTCTCATTCCATGTCTTTTCTTCTTCTGAAAAGTAGTAACAGTTTTCTCCACAGCATGACCATCTTCCTTGACATGTGTTATAGCCCTTTTCTGAAAATAAAACAACTATTATCCTCAGACTCCTTTCAAGACATGGACTTTTGGTGCTTCATTTTTGGCTCCAAAGACTAATTTCTTTAAAGAGCAATTGCTTTCACTAAAAATAGCTCTGCTGCCCAATTTTATAGGAAAAAATATTGTGAACACAGAAATTGTCTTGAAAGATACAAGGGCTTTGTTATAGTTGCACTGACAAATCCTGACTTTTCAAGGAGAAAGACACCAGCATTGATCACTTCTATCTGCAAGAAGAGATTCATCAAAATTAATAATGAGAGTGGCACTGATATAAAGGACTTTCCATCAGGTAAATACACCCACAGTAAAGAAAAGTATAAAATGCTCAATAAATTCAAGGTGAAAACCAATAGCAACTCCTTCTATGAAGGCCAAAAGTTTAATTGACTATAAGAAAACAGACAGACTTGGTAAGAAGTGAATAAAGCTCAAATTCTGTCAGAGTTCAATGTGAAAATTTAAAATTATAATCTGAAATGAAACAGAAACATAAATGTCTTTAAAAGTATGTCAGCTTTCAGTTCAGGTTTTGATGCATACCTGTAGTTGGCGGTAGAGTTGAAGGACCTGCTTCGTTGACTGAAGAGACGGCAGTTTTATTTGCATCTTTTCCATGTTGAAATTTGAAGTTAGAAGTGCACTGAAAAACTAAGTCCATGTCATGAGGTTAGAACTACAAATGGTGATAAGTTGCCAGAATTCAATTAATTGTAATTGTAAACAGTAGATAGTGTTCATTAAAGAATAGTAAGAAAAGTATAAAATATTTTGAAATGCTAGAATACAAAATAGATTTTTAAACACAGCTGTTTATAACTTGCAATATACTTCTTTAAAGTATTTAACATATTTATGAAACAAAAGTTCAACTGAAAAGAAAAATTTGTTTAAACAGAATCCATGCCTTGTATCTTCAAATAATGCTTTGAAGTTTATTATTCCATTTAAAGTTTATATATGTAATTTAAAAGATCTGGCTTTACATTTCAATTTATAATGGCCTTTTTGAAAATGGATGGAGAAAATCAAACACATTTTTAAGTGCAAACAGAAGGCCAAGTCTCTGTAAGGAATCATTATTTCAGATGTGATGAGAGAGTTCAGTCAGTGGTTAAGAGCATGTACTGCTCTTGAGGAGGACCCAATTTTGTTTCCCAGCACTCACAGCAGATAGCTAACAACTCACTGAAACTCCAGTTATGGCAGAGCTGATGCCCTCTCCTAGACAGGATTTGCACTCCTATGCATTTGTCCCATCCATACACATACACCCATGACTTAAAATAAGTCTTTTAAAGAGGGAAGTAATATGTCTTACAAAAACTCAAGAACTAGCAATGTAATATCTATCATGAAGCACACAACTCTGTTTTCTCATTTACAATTCTTTTTTCATGATTATTTAGAAAAAAATATTGTTTGCAATTCTTTGTAGATAGGGTGTTATCATCTTTGCTCCATGAAATTTTCTATTCATTTAGTTATTCTGTTCAGTATTTGCCCAAACTGGCACTAGAACTTTAATAATTAAATGTATTTATTCATATATTATTCCTTTGATTCGGTTTATGGCTACTTTTAGAGTCTCTTATTCCTTAAAATTATTCTTACATTGCTCCTTTAAGGCTATTATTTTATAAAAATGCATCATGATATGCAAAAATGGCTACTTTTTCACTTTGTAGTATGAGGCTAATATTCATCCACATTGTTACATGTCTCCATAGTTATTTTTGACTACTGCAAAAATTCCATTTTGTGAATCCATAAGAGATCATGTAAATCAACATACTTTCAACATTTGCTTCCCTATAGTTTAAAGGATACAATTTTCTATGCTTAATGATTTCTAATCCTAAAAGTACCAGGTATTGCAACCTGATTTGGGTCAAGTCTTTGTTCTACCAAGTCCTCTCCAGCAGGAAGCTGTAATCTCCCTCTTGATCAAAGTTCTGTCTGTATAGACTGTCATATCACTTCAGAATTGGCTATCCTTAACACACAGTGCCCGGTGTCAGATAGCATGTTTCTGCCTATCTACTAATCGGATTTTCCTGTTTTCTTTATCTCCAATCGTTTTCACCCATTTTTTGATGTTTATTTATCCCAAGGATCATCATCATCCTGACCTCTTGTCTTTTAACATGGCAACATTACCCCCTGGTTTTGAGAGGTTTCTGCATGATCTGCATTCCATCTCCGTTTGGCATGTTCTCAAGTAATTTGCTGTATCAACTGGACACAATCCAACACATTTCAAATATCCAATCTACACATTTGTCTTGATCTCATGTGTGAGATGAACCTACTGCCAACAGCTAACTATGAAGAAATAGCCCAACATGAACTTTGTGGGTATGTCAACTGTCAATCTAAAAACTATAATATTATAAATAAAAAAGTAATCATCCCGATCCAAGAAGCCCACTGAAATTTTGCATATTTCAGTTTTGTGCTTATTGTAAGTTGATCAATACATCTGGAAGAATTTGACTTTATGCATATTGTGTTTACTACATGATGTATTAACACTTATTTTCATTAAAAAAGAGTTTAATAAGGAAATATAAGTATTCACAACTCACTGATCATAAGCAAACTAGTTCATACAGAAGTTATTGTATATATTAACCTGAATTATACTTACACATAATATTTCTGTGTATTTGGAGCAATATAATGTTTTATGTGTCATAAAAATAGAAATATAAGCTACTAATAAAGTCTTTATCACCATCACCATTATCATTAATACACATAATCACTAGGATGTTTACAGAATGTCAAAAATCACAAAGGTTCAGCAGTTGTAACATTGTTTCTTATCTCATAGTTACCATAAAATATATGTATATATAACATACTCACATACATATCCTAAGACTGCATTTGACACCGTAAGACAAAAACATACTGTTCCCAGGATTGAAGCAGTCATGCGCCATTGATTGTCTACATAAGAGCAAAAGGCAAGATACATAAAAAGCATAAGAAACCTTATAATTAGAGCAGATGGATAATTATGCTTGAGGTTAAAATTAAAATCAGTCCACTCACTGGCTATTTACTCAGTAATTATTTTTAAATAATAGAAAGAGCCAGATATATAACATCAAACATCAATGACTATAATTAATATGAATTCATGTTTTAATATTTGATATTGTGTTTTCAGCACACACACAAAAGCAGAGAAATGTTACCTTTCTTTTTCTTAACTGGCTGGTTTTTGTCCTTGCTCCTAAGGGATATTGTCAGCTCTGCATATGTTGTTCTTTCCTTGCTCATTTCTGATGGCTGCAAGCAGGAGCACAGAAAACATCCTTACCCGTGTTTCACAAGGTAGAATTAATCCAATAAATAATGCAAACATGAATAATGAAATAATAAAGAGCTGAGTAACAAAAAGAATGATCTGGAAAAAGTGAATTTCTCCATAAATGTAAATGATTTTTAAAATATTTTCTCTATGATACCTTATATCAGAAATTTAACATAATTCAGTAATGGTCTATAACAATTATCAAATATGTTATCTTATGAAGACAATTTAATTCTATAGGTTTCTAAATTTTAGAGAGTGAAGTCCATCATCACCAAATATTGAGATTTAAGAATTCTGTTGAAAAATTTTATCTGACCACTGAATGCCTGAATTAGCCAATGGCAACTATAGTAGACCTTGTATGGAGTCATTTTTATCAAAGGCACACTCTTATATAAACTCTACTATTGCATTATACCAAACCACCTTTTGTTTTCCCATTTTGTAAATTTTGTAATCACTGGACTTCATGGTCCTTGTCGTAAAGTGTGAGAATAATAAGAATCCATGCCACAGAGACAAAGCAGCCAAGAGAACAGCTCCAACTGTAGCTCTAACAACAAGCACAGCGATGACAGCTCTTGCCTTGTTTTATAAATGGGGAAACTGAGCATCAAGGAATCCAAATGCTATTGCCTGTATCAGATATTCAATTACTGACATTACTTAGTTTGTATAGATATACCGAAATCTAAAAGTATTATTCTTCCACAATAACCTCATTTAAGTAACATTTCTAAAAGGGTATAAAATAAGCTTTGTTCCCAGAAAGCAAGGAAAAATTCTGAATTAATAGGAAAATATTTCTTCTGAGTTAATTACTACTAATAAGAGAAACAAATATACCCATTATTCCCAGATAAGAGCAGGTATTCAAAAATATATTAATAGATTACTCTAAAACCAGGTTATCAGAACTAGAGGTACAGGCCTGAAAACCCAGAGCTCTTGAGGCAGAGCTGTAATGCTTCTAGGAAAAAAAAAATGGGTCAAAAGAAATAGGAATATATCAATATTTTGAACTTTAATTTCTTTACAACTTTATCTACTAAAATAATAAGCAGATTACAGGTTATTAATAATAAGAGGTGCCAGGGATTTGGCTTGATAGTAAGAACTTGGCTAGGATTTGAAATATGGGTTTGATACCCAGAACTGGCAGAAAGAAAAGCAATAAAAACATTCTTAAATCACATAAAAATGATTAAATGTTGCTGCATTCATATTTTAATGTACCTCATAAAAGTTATATTTAGGATACTGTTTGTAATGGAGAAATATACTTATTGGAAAGAAAGAGTATAAAATTAAAACCATATATATTAAAATAGGAAAGTAAATTCATAAAAGAAAGTAAAAGAAGCAGACAATAGCTCAAATTGTTTGTTTATAAAATGTACACTTTGGAAAAGGTTTGATTTTATCTATGTGCTTTATTTCTAGAGCTTTTTATTTGAATAGATACAATGTCACTTTGCTATATTTAATGAATTTTCCCACATGGTCTTAAATATTTAGGTGCATTTAGATATAACTAATTCGAAATAACTCCCTGAGAAAAAAAAGGGATAATTAGTGATTTAAGCAGACAAAGCTTCTTTCCCCTAGAAAAGCTTCAGGCGATTCTGAGGATAAAGTCAGCGAACTGTTCACAAGAAAACATGACTCTTGAATTCTTAAAATATGTTACTACCTAACCTTGTTATTTTTTTTAGAATTCAAAGTAAATTTATTTAAATGATTTCCAAAAGTAGTAAAATGCATTGCTTTTTATGTTAAATTATAAGATGTATATTATTTAAGTACATCTAATTTTCTAGCTATTGTTTTATATTAGTTAGCTAGCAGACAATCTATAAATATGTAACTGGATCAGCAAACTACTTGAAAGTTTTGTTTTACAATTAATTTCAGTTTGTAGAAATAACCTTTTGGATAACTCACTGCTAATCAGCAAGGTCCTGTGAAGGAAATAATGCCTATTTAGAATGTCTACAAAGTGCATAAGTATTTTCCAAAATATCCAATAAATTGAAAATAATCTTCATGTTGCACTGTGAATAATTTTTTAAATACACTCTCGTTTTGGTCAAGTCTGATCTTCACCTCTGTGATGAAGTTAACACCGGATTTGAATTGTCAGCTCAGGTCAGTTCTCTCTTGCAACAACCCAAAGCCCTCTGAACCAGCTTCCTATGGCATTCTTCTTTATCCCTCTGTCCCAGGCAGTGTGGGAGCACAGCCTTAGCCCCACACTCACAGACTCTGATGTGATCTGGGTCAATTTTCTTTGGTTTTCACCAGCTGGAAAGCAGGGTTGGTCTGGCTGCTAGCTGAGGTTTATGATTACCTGGCTCTATTAGCTTTTAACCTCCACAGTGACATGGGGAGGAGCCTGCTGATAGGTATCACTTACTCTAAGAGCTGTATATGATATGTATAGTGGAGTACTGTATATGATGTCACTCTGTTCCCATATCAAAACCTCTCACTGAAGGGTCAGCATCAAATTTTCCACCAATTTCTGTGTCAGTCTTGAGTAAAAAAGATAATAAACCTGTAAATGTCAGGAAACATATATTTCCTGAAAACTTGAATTTATTGAGTTTGAGAAAGGTATAATCTCAGAATTCGATGAACTTGGGAAATCGTTAACAACCGAATTTTACAAATGATTAAAACTAAAAATAGTGGTACAAACGTGTTTTCTGCCTGGAGTGGTTTATGTATTTTTATAAAATTGAAAAACTCTGCAAAAACTTCTGATTTCAGTTAAAAACATGAATACCAAAGAGTATGTAAGCTCTAGCCAGTACTTCCACCATGCTGAGCATGCCAGATTATCTAATCAGCTGTAGCAAATATCAGAGCAGACAAAACTGAACGAGTGCTGAATACTAATGTTACTTGGAATTAACTAAGAACAATGCTTTAGAGATTTCCAGCTTCTAAGATAGACTTGTGTTTGGCTTAGTCTATTTTTTGTTTGTTTGTGTTGTCCCCTTGCCCTTGTATAAAAACTAATTGATTCTTTTCAGACAGTGGGTTTCCAACAAAGTAATGATAAAGAAGCATAGTAGAATTTTCTAGGCAGGTGGAGTGTCTCTTAAAGGTGGGCACCGGTCTCTAGACAGTGTTAAGAGCCATACTCTGTGCTCACAGGTATTGATTACTCTGTGAATGATGTCAAATTTAGTCTGTGACTGCCAAGATGTGTCAATGAACAGATGCATACTTAACAACACTCTTTTTTATTAGAAATATATATTTATTAGAAATATATATATATATATATGTCTGTGAGAATGTATACTACATACATGCAGTTTATAAAGAGGCCAGAAGAGGACACTGAATTCTCTGAGCTAGAGTATGGGAAACTTTGAGTCATCTGGTTTAATTACTGAGAATCAAACTCGGGTCTTCTGCAAGAGCAGCAGGCATTCTTACCTGCTGAGCCACCTCTCCACCCTCTTAATAGCAAAGAGAGAATTGATTTTAAATTTAGCATATAAATAATTTCAATAATACACCATTTCTATGTTTCTTAATGTTAGTTACTCTTACGTTTATGATTTTTAGCATTATCAAATCATCTGATACATAGAATATGTACCTTATACATGATAATATATGTTATATATTATGTAATATATATATGGATTATGTATAAATACATTCAGTTCTTTAGTTCTTAGGGCTTTAATAATAAACTACTGTTTTATTAAATTAAAATAAACATAAAGTATTTAAAATATCTAGCAATTACGGAATTAAACTTTTTACTAATAATATTTACTGTGAGTAAAATACAATATTATCACCAGAGTATATATTGATTATTAACCAATATTCACTAAAACTATTTCCTTTCCTTAAAACAAGCACAGACCGACATACACACACATATGTACCCAAAATATCTGTGCATTTCTGTGCTTCTTAGAATGTTTTCATTAATAAACTCTTCTGTATATGAATTTTCATTTTTCTTTTAAAGTCATGTATGTTTGACTATTTTACATCTACCTAAACTTTAGTCCAAATTAAAATAAAAATGTAAATGAAATTGAATGAAATAATGATAAGGTTGTTAAAGTCAACTGCTAGATGAAAACCAATGAAAAGATACACGAGACATGAATGAATAAATAAGGAAGGCAGAGATACTCGTGATAGAACTTGTAATCAGACCATGGAAGAGTGATGGCAGGATACAGCTAAGTTAAGGTGAAGGTGTAATTTTCAAAGCTAAGGCAAATAGTGGCTATAAGAGAGGGGGCTTCATTCCAAGCAGTTATCAAAGAGGTAGCTTCAAACTTTCAGTTATTAAGAGTCAAGCAATTCTCAAACACCTTAGCTCAAAGTGAACCAGAACAGTAGCTTAGGTCCCTGAACTGCCCACAAAGCTGACTTTTAAACTAATAGCAGTAAATAGACAAGCTGTGCCTTCATGGCCCCCAGCAAGCAAAATCTACAAGGGGTACGTGTGGTAGCAAATGTGGTTGGCCACACAGAATAGCCTTTAACTGACTTCTTAGTTAAACCAAGATGATGGAACATGGTTAATTGTTTATGTCTCCGTCGGCTCACAGAAGTGGAGGTCAGTTTTCACACGCATGATTTGCATGGTCCTGGGCAGGAGAGTTTCCATTCTCACCTTTGTAAAATACCCAGAAGAGAAAGGTTCAGCCACCCTGCTACTTGTGTTCGCTGCTGTATCCACCTTGACCTTTCAAGATACTTCTTCCTACATCCACCATATTGTAATCTTTTCTATTGTTTTGTGCTTCATTCTTTGGGGAAGTGCTCAGGAGTAGAGTTTCCTAACTTTTGAACACCTCACCCAAGGACTGAGGTGAATCTTCAGTAATACTATCATGTGATTTTGGACAAGGAAAGAGTCAGAATTCAAAATTTAAAGTGGGAATTCTAAGGAATGCATATTGCCTTCACATTATTTAAAGCTAAT